CGAAGTAGGCGGTCGTGGAGCAATCCTAACCGTGCCGCGCAGGAGCTGTATTGCTGGTGATCGATTGGTTATCGCTGCTCCGTAATTTTGCCTGTCGCATCCGCCTTGTGGTGTTGGTGTTGTAACACTAAATAACATGGGCAATGCATGGGATTTGGATAATCATAGCATTACTACCAAGATCCTGTGACTGGATTGACTCCTGTAATCTCACCATTATAGTGTTATTATTTGATGCATTATTAGTAGTAATTAATAATATGCAGTTAGTGATCTCATGCTCTTGGAGGACTTCCAAGACAACTGAGCTTAGATTGCTTCCATTATATGTACTATAAAGAGGTTTAAACCCAAGAAGAATCTCACAATAGTTCCATTCTTGGTTAATAAAGTAGCCAGTGATTGCTATGAATGCCTGGTTAAAAGGTGATGTCTAGTAGTCAAGTGTAATTAAAAGCTTCCCATTTGGTGGAAGCTTCTGGAGTAGAGTCGCTTGTTTTTCTTTGATATTTTTCTCTAGATATTGTCGAAGGGTCCTGCTAGAGGGGAGTTTTGGCTTTGATGGTGCAAGTCATATAATATTAATAAACTCATCAAGCTCGCGACGCTCACTAAATTAAAAGGGAAGACGCCCAACAGCAACCATATTAAGTAGCTTCTCCATGAAAAGCTCTTGACTATATAGCCTTTGAGGAGAATGCTAAGGCTAAATAAGGGTAATGTAAGCATACTTGATGAACTATACCAGGGCCTTATACTAACCGAGTCTTAGATAAGCTGTCTATACCCTTCTGCTGTTTAGGCACGGTACACTGACAGGCAGCTCCTTTAAGGTGTACTTTCATTAGAGATAACCCTGCTTAGCAATGACCTAGGTGAATAAGAACATTGCAGCAGTGTCTACACATAACCTTAGGCTGGCCAGTTTTTTCATCTGCAACCTGATGAAATTGCTCCTAATATAATGAGCTCTTTTTCCCATCCCAGTGGATTATATCCTATAACTCCTTCTTTGATCCGAAGTCTGTCTGTAGCCACTATCTTATAAAGTCATCCTTTAACATATCAGAGTAAAGGATCCAATGTTTACAAAAGTTAGGCCTAACACATGTGAGGGTCTTAGGAAGGTGGGGCCGTGGTAGTGGGAAAATGAAGTCTGAGTCTGATGTGGAGATGATAGTATGCTGACTAGCAGCAGCTGTGTATTATCTGATTGTAAGAAGTCAGGTTCATAGAAAGAATCAGAGAATTAAGATTGTTGGCTTTGCGACATCTTAAAAGTAAGGATAATACTATAAGTTAGGAATAAAAGAAAGGTAAGAAACTTACAAAGCCTTTAGAGGGAAAATTCAGAGGGTAGATAACAAAATCTGGGGGTTACAAGGATACATTGTCACGGGCTAGAAGCCGGTCAACCTATGACCTAGGTTTGGACGGTAAGAAATCGCTAAGGGGTTCTAACTAGGGCCGCAACGGCCGAACAAGAAAAGATTGGTGCCTAAGGCAGCTCGCGAGTGCCGATAGGCTCGAGCATACAGCGGGCCTTGCCCGCTACATACATGTGTAGATTAGATAGGTCTATTTTCCTAGATTATCTTCTGTTCTGATTAGTTTACTAGTAATACTAGTGTGGTTACCTACATGATATAGGATATCATGTAATAATCCATGGATATCCATCTGATATCTTGTAGATGTCGTATGATTATCCACGGATATCTGATAAATATCCACATATATCCACAAGCTCACCATGAAAGCAAGAGTTCTGTATATTCAAACCACATAATCATGTCACGGGCTAGAAGCCGATTCAACCTATAACCTAGGTTTGGACGGTAAGAAATCGCTAAGAGGTTCTAACTGGGGCCGCAGCGGCCGAACACGAAGAGGGGTGTGCGAGGGAGAAACGGGGTCACGTGACATGGCTGTTCACGACATTACTTAGTACAGAATCACGTGACCTAGCCTGCCTGAGGCAGTTCGCGAGTGCTCAGTGAGCTCGAGCATTCAGCGGGCCTTGCCCGCTACATTGCAGGCCTGGATAGAAATATCCGATTGCGCGTCGCAGCTAGCGAGGCGTCACGTGACCTGGGTGGTTAGTACATAGATTGTTACATTGTCACGTGACCCAGAGCTGTATGGCTTCGCGAGTGCCTGCTAGGCGGCACGAGCATATCGCGGGCCTTGCTCGCAACATTAAGTATATAAAGGAGTAAAGACTAGAAAAATTATAGATAAGGTATACTTAGTACCTCTATATAAATTATATACAGTAGTAAGATACTATTATCTAATAGATTTTAGATATAAACCTTACTAACTAGAATTATAAGGCCTGTAAGGTGCCTCTCTGTAGGCCTAATATAAAATATACTTGCTAGATAGATTTCCATAGTTATATTAAGAATGAAAGTTGAAATTAACCTTCTGTTACTCATTACATATATTTTTCTATGGTAGAGGTAATAGACCTTAAATTCTACCTTTTACACTAGGAGTGCAGTGAGGAATCTATCTAATCAGACTATTTCAACCTACCCCCCTACTGAGCATGGTCTAAGCGACCAATCAGATTACAGGCATGCTTAGGGGGCGCAGTGTCACACCCTGGGATCCGTCTCTGCTGTTCTCTGCTAGTCAACTACTTTTGGAACGGGGTGATATAGTCCCTGGACTATATCCAATACTTGCCTGAGGCCTACCGACCAGGTAGCCTGACGACGCAATGATACAATGATCCAACGGGGATCAAGGACAATCCAAAGGTAACACAAGAACAATAACAGTAGAGATAGAAGCAAGGCCTATTAAGGACGTATCCTTAATAGTAAGAGAGTAACTGACGAATCGGACTAGTGAACTTGTACTCAAGTGAGATCTTGATATTAAACGCAAAGAACTAAACCAAGAGTGCTAGATACAGTGGTAATGAGTGTCCTTATATAGCTCTAACAGCTACTCCCCTAGCTACTCCCTTGGAGTAGTTCCCCTAGTAGCTTTCCACTACTCCTCTAGCTACTCCCTTGGAGTAGTTCCCCTAGTAGCTTTCCACTACTCCTCTAGCTACTCCTTCATGGTAGCTTAATCAGTAGCCTTTCTGTTGACTACTCCCTTATCTTATCGTAGGGGTAGCTGATCACGTGATCTGAGGCTTGGTTGTTTCACGAGGTCGTTCTCTTGCGGGGTCAACTGGCTGAGGTTTGCTGACGTCCATGTTGGTGCCATAACACGCAGGAGATCCACTATCTGACTGGGCTTGACACCAGCTGAGGGAATAGGGAGTAGGCCAGTACAGCCTCGGTCACGGGACTTAGATCATCTGACTTTTCCATCGATCTTGGTTCCTGAGGCACCCATCACCCTTCACTTCCGAAGTCATCTGTGATGATTGACTGAAAACCTCGTTTTCGTCACAATCTATACTTAGGTTCTTAAATTCATCGCTCATTAGGATGTGATGCTAGCTTAGAGCAATTCTTCGTCTCGAGCCTCTTCATATAGCCTTTCCCTGGGGTTTGCGACCGTGCTACTTCCATGCAGTGAATGTGGCTTACACAGCGCGCTGCACAAATAAAAGAAAGAAGCAATGGGTGCCTTTGGTTATCAGATATTATCGACTATCTATGATATACTCCAATACGACAAAGTCCAAAAGCGATGAGGATATCTAGTGGGCGACCGCGGCGACCTGGGCGGGCGGATACTGATCACCATACTCGGACACGATCCATTGGCAAAACTCCTCCCACTGCTGATTCCAGTATTGGATGCGCTGGGCTTTGATACCATCGCCTCGTGCGGCCAGGTCAATGTCTCGAAGCCAGTCAGCATCGGACTGGTCCTCAAAGTTGGACCAGCGAAGACTGTTCTGCGCCAGAGCTCCCTGTGGTTCGTTAGCTCTGGTTGCGATCGGGTTTTGACAGGACGACCTACCAGTCCAGCGAGTCCAATGTTATCGAACCCTTGGATGGTTTGATAAAAATCATAGCTCAGACCTGCGATATCCTGTCCGAGAATGGCCGGGTCGTCGTTGCTGATGGCGGTGGGGACACCATGAGCAATCATCGCGGGGAGAGGATGGTGGAGGATATCCGTCGCCAGACGCAACACTTCGTTGGAGATTGGGCACACTTCGACCATAACTGCCTTTTCAATCACCTCCTCGATGAGCGTGGGGTGCTTGTACAAGGAGAAACCATGACCGATGCGGCGGGAGTTGAAGAGAACGGCATCCACCAAGTTGTAGTCGGTCGAGTTGCCGTCACCGAGGGTCTCTCCGGCGTGGAAGAAGAAGGGGATAGTGAGATTCAGGTACTCCGTCTGCTCCCGGAACCAGATCAGCTCGGGGGCTAGGTCAGACAGCGGACGACCCAGATCCTCCTGTGCGACCAGATCGTAACCGCTGAACAGCTCGGGAAACTTTTGCTTGCGCTCAAGGGCAATCTTCATGCCTGGGAAGAGTCTCAGCATGATTTTCAGTATACCAGGAAAGAAGACTTACTCTTAGTGATCTTCTCCCGGTTCTTGCTTCGAGTGTCTGACCAGATGACGCGGGCACCCCAGAAATTCTTCCCCTTGTCGGTAGCCTGGAACTTCTCAATCTCGTCAATCATCACATCCCACCAGACATCGAGATCGGGATCGGTGTCCTCCTGGCCGGTATGGACCAGTTTACCGCTTGATCCGCCGCTGCGGATTTCCACCCAGTTGATGCCATCGTCGGCTAAGCGTTCAAACAGCTTCTGGTAGAACGTCCTCACAATAGGTTCATAGTTTAGCATGGTATCCGCGGGACCAAAGCACGCTTGGAATCGTCTCCAGATCTCGTCCACACCCAGCTCATGGCGAATCGAATCCTCCGGAAGGATAGTCAGCTTGGACTTCATAAAATCTATGAAGCCTTGACGGCCACCGGGGAACTGGTCGGCGGCTATCTGAACCGAGACCTGGGTGTTGGGAACGTAGTCTGCCGAGGAGATCGTTTCAACCGAGGTGTCTATCGTCGTGTTGACATGCGCGAAAGCAACAGTGGCATTTTCTGCGCTCTGCTCATCAAGGATCGGTTGCGACGTGGAGATAACCATGCCTTCGGTCGCAAGGAATGGTACCATACGGCAGCATGGCCGACAAGTGTGCATGTAGCAGCGCGCCCTTGGGCATGCGCTTCACAATCTGCCAAAGCTTAGTGGCATTGATGTATGGCCGTGCCAGAGGGAACATCTCCCCGGCGAAACGCTCGTCCTCTGGATGCTCGAACGTGCCATACTGCCGCCAATAGTCATCAATCTCCTCCTGGCGGATCGCCTGGACGATGACATCCGCCTGTCGAGCAACAGCAGACAGATTCTGGCGGAACTCGTGGTCTACGCCAAGTCAGCATCAGTCGTCACCGGCGAGGGATGGACGGGGCATACCTTGTCGCTGCCTCTTTTCTATCGTGATCATGGCCGATCGAGCCATGAGATGGCGCTGCACGGCACTGCCATTCGGATCCGGCGCGTCATCAGGAATGACTTTCGCCGCCGTGAGCGACAGAGACAGCGCATATGCCACGAGACTCGGCAGTTTCATGATGATCAGATGGCCCTTGGCGGGATGGAGAACATTTCAGATCACCTCCAACCTGGCCTGCTAAAGCTTAATATATGGGCATTTGGATCGAGGTCTTTGACTCCGGAGTACAGAAAGCGTATTATTGCCGCAATGTTTTGATCTGCTCTGCAGGGATTATCCTCATCAGCCCCGGTTTGATTCACATTCTCTGGCTCATATACATTGTGGATCGACATTATTGGACGGACCCTTTCTGGCCCTTGCTTCCGGGCCTCCAGAACGCCGAACGATGGTAATCGGTGATTGCTTTTTTGGCCTTGCCAATGTGGAGACACTGCTGTCGTCGAGTCGGTCACACACCTGCTCTCTGCATTAGGGCCAGTTTCCTAGGGAACGCCCAGCATTGATTGCCTTCGTCGTCTTGGCATGTCTCTCCCTTCCTTGGCAATTGGAGATCATCGCCCTCTCCAGGCAGTCCGAGTTCATCCATTTTTTCGATATGCTCCTACAGATGCAGGACGGGAGAAGTGAAGGCGAGATGATGATGCTAATGTAGCAGTCACCTCAGAGACGATGTGACATCTGTAGCTGCAGGATTGGAATTACTTTAGACGAGACAATGCTTCGGTAAATATCGGCATTCAAATGTACTACTCTTTCTTTGCTTCTCCACCACACAGGCCTGCCGAATGGACGATTGCTTGGCAAGCTTCATCATTCCGAGTGAAATTACGGCCCGCTCCGCAACTTTCAGTACCAAGTCGGTGCTCGGTGCTCTAAGGAGTAAGGACTTGAAATATGACAACTAGTGCAGCTGGTATTGCACATCGTGGGATTGCGCTGTAGATCTTCCGTGTCCCCATTCCGAAAGCTTTTTGAAGGTCTAGTGGCCAGTCCGTCCTACACTAGAACGAGGGCTGTGTGCCGTGTGCTGTGCAAGCAATATTCGATGATCAGCTGAGATTCAGTATCCGGGGTGATCCCTGTAGACTCTTACTAGCTTCTGTCCATAATGCTCAAAAGAATTTGTTTGGAGGGTTCTTTACTGTCGCAGAGACTACAGCCAAGCCATTGAAGTTATATTTTCTTTTCTTATGAACAATGATGGGTTAACAAAACATGCATATATATATATATATCCTTTAGGACGGTCGACTCTTCCATAAAGTAACCTTTCCTGGGTGACATCCTAAAATGCCTCATTAAAACTTCATCTTAGATCAATATCATGATTGATCTAGATCTTGAGTTCGACTCTATAAACTCGAACCCGGATGAGTTTCCGAGATCAAGTGGACATTGCTTATCATTATGGAGCCTTTATTTCTCTTAGACTCTAAGTATTTACTACTAGTTAGATACTAGAGCACAAGATGGATGACTTGGCTTGAGAGAATCCGTATAGGCTGCATGCAAGGTGATATTTCCACGCAGTCCGCCATCTGCTCTCATCTTGACCAAGCCAAAGTGATGATTATCTCTATCAGCACTATGAGGTTAACGGTGGGATCGATACTGGGTCAGATCAATCTATCATGTCGTCCAATGATCTAGAAGACAACCGGACGCAAGAAGCTCTGGCACCGGACGTTTACCGATCTCGAATCCCCTATTGCACCACCAGAAACCCGACTGATCCATTGCATGCCCGGCGCTGTGGCCATTCCAGTCAGCCAGTTCTCGTTCGCATGGGACAACTATCCCTCTATCCATTGGAGTGTCAGTATCGTCGCTACCTCTCCATTTGCGTTCGGAGTGATCCTCATCTACCTCGGGATCATGAATTACCTGATCGACTCGTATACCATCTGCGCTGCGTCCGTGCTCGCAGCAAATATCGTTCTCCGTTCTATCTTTGGAGCCATCTTCCCGATCATAGCGACGTATATGCATGACAGACTTGGGATCCATTGGGCGCCGATGATCCCAGCATTTCTCGCGCTGTGTGCATGCCTGCGCCATTGCTCTTCTACCGGTACGGGGCGGCCATCCGAATTCGTTGCAAGTACGCCACCGAGTCAGATCGATACATGCAAAATTGCACGAGAGTGCACCTAGAAAGGGGAACTCTGCTGCTTCGGCGCGTCCAAAGACCGAGGAGCCAATGATACCTGCGGATGGGGAGCCAGCAAGGCGAAGCAATGCTCATTGAATCGATCATTTTTGAAATAGATAGACCTGGATGTGATTTATACGACCATATCACCTTTGTGACATGAAAGACAGTTCACAGCATGATCCCCGGATGCTCCTACACTCGTGATCATAAAACCATTTCGTAGTCTCAGATTATGCCTGCAAGACTCCCTCAAGAACCCCCCTCTCCTCCTCTGACCACCATTTTTGCAAAACCTCCTCACCCCTGCGTGCCTTTTGCGCCGCCCGATTGCGGTACACGCTGTCAATCTTACGCACGCTGACTTCATCGCTAATGCACCACCGTTTGAGGTCATCCTCCCACTCTTGATAAGTCATGGTGGGCTTATCGAAGCGCACACGGATGTTGGACAAGCTGTGCGTTCTCAACGCCTTGGACAAACTGGCGAATCGTCTGTTATCTTTCGGAGTGGACCGCGACGGGATGAGCGGCTTGAGGGAGAGATACATGATCGACTTGGACTCCTGCGCGGCAGTCATCAGGGGCAAGGCGGTCGTGGTGCAAAAGGATTGTGGGCCGAGGGCGAGGTAGGAGAGAGGCGTTGATGAAGTCACCAGGGAGGAGAGGGCGTTGATTGTGCATTCCGCCGAGAGATAATTGAATCTGTCCTGTCAGTATCTTTGCGTTAAATCCGCCGGTTCAAAGACATACCTCGCATTCAAGTCCTGCGTGGAATAGGCCTGACTGATATCCAGAGTCTGCAACGCAGGATGACCCTGCAGGGATGAAATCAATACTGTCGCCCCCTCGTCAGTCAGGCCAATCGATTGCAGAGAAAGACGTTGCAGTGTCTTATTCTGCTGCAGCCCCGTAGCTAGCGCTTTTGCCCCTGCGTCACCGATCGGATTGCTGGACATGTACCAAGAGGTGATAGAACAGTGCGGCGAGGCCAGGTACCTGGAAATTGCCTCGCAGGCCGCACTTGATATCCCAGTCGCGGACAGGTACAGGATTCTCATTGGCAAGGGTGTAGGAGGAACATATTCCGCCAATCGAGTGAACAGAGCAGCAACGCCTGCATCGCCAAGCTCTGTCTGATCCAGATCCAATGTCCGGAGCCTTGGAGTCTGTGTGATGAGGCGGAAGAGGGAATCAACCGACCCTGGGCCGAGGGGATTTCTCTTGAGCCAGAGATTTGTAACGGCGGGCGACTTGACCAGTGCATCAGTCAAGAGTGCAAGCGATGCTCCGTCTATGCAATTCCCGGCTAGATACCAGGTATCAATGCGGTCGGGGAATTCCTGCACGAAGTCTGCGATTGCCTGTGCCCCAGATGGGCCGATGATGTTATTTCCTAGCAGGAAATGCCGCACGAATGTGTTTGATCGCAGACTGTGCATCAGGGTCGAGATATGTGGCGGACCAAGAGCCATCTTGCACAGATCCATCCGGCCGTCTTCGTACAGTACCCCCTTATCAAACTCCAGGGTCGGGACGTTGTAGTAAGGCTCGGATGCCTGCTGGCTCTGGACTGCAGCATCAGACGCTATCTCATAGCTGCCGCCGTGTTTGAGATGGTTGAAGAAAGGCGCAAGAGACTTTGCATCGCTGATCTCGACTGGCATCGGCAGGCTGGGGGCTCCTTTGAGCATGTCTGGGGTCACTTTCTGATCCCAGGGGCCTTGAGCTAGGATTCGATCCGACCAGCGCGGTCGAACTTCAGGAGGGGATGCATTGTTTTCTTCGGTGGCCTGGGTGGTTGTCTGTATCGCGTCTTCATCTGTAGAATCGCTGACTCGGAGTCGGTCGAGGGAGATGGGCTGCGTTGTTAGAACTGTTGCCGACGCCATCCTGTTTACTTTGCAGATAATTTTTATCGGTCGGCAGTTAAGATCTTATATATGTTCAGGAATGAGTAGTATGACTCACGAAGTGGACCAGCTCATACGCTCATGCCAAGGGCCGATTCAGCCTTGCGGATGTTGGAATCCGGGAGACGGAAATGGAAGAGTCATCATTATTGGTTTTCACATATCCACTCTATTTCATGCAAGTACATTAATCATTGATGAAATAGAATGATTTAACTGATCTATATCAATCATCGTCCAGAGCCTGCACGACCTGCGCCCACTCGCCATACCCATAAGCCCCTGGCACACACTCGCCATCCCACAGACTGGCCAACACCACCCGATCCCCCTGCTCGCCTTCCCAGGGCTCTCGGCCATGCTGAGCAATGACGTTGTCAAATACCAGGACATCTCCCTGTTGCCATTCGTGCAATACCCGAATCTCATCCGTAATCTTGGTCAAATGTGCCAGGTACCGTTCTGGAATCGGGGTTCCATCCCCATACATCTGTTGGGTGAGATTCCGTCTGCCCCCGTTATTCTTAATAGTCAGGTTCTTATAGTACGTAGCTAGACCGGTGAAAAGCGATGGGAAATTGGTATGCGGCTGCGTTCGAATAGCAGGGAGACGATGCGTCACGATCAGTCCATCCTCCGTCCATTCCCAGGTGGTGAATTTGCCACGTCCATACCGTGCGATTTGAGCTTCCATCTTCCTGCGCTGTGTCTCCTCGTCGTCTCCGTCCTTCACATGCTTTCCAAACGCTTGTCGAAGGGAAGATCCTCCGACATAAGCGGGTTCTTTCTTGTATATCACTCGACTGAGCATGCCCTTCTCCGCCAGTTCTTGAATAAACTCGGGCATCTCCAGCTGAGCTCGATGAAACAACTCGAGCGAAGATGAGATAGGTGACTCTCCGCCCCTGTCAGGTGCCCGGTGTGCATAGAAAAAGATGTACTCTGGTGTATGGGGGACTTGAGGGGATTCGTTGTGGTTGTAGATCAACACTTCCTTGGGTGCTTCACTGGCCGGAGCCACGTTCGGCGCCAGCAAGGGTCGATCTACGACAATCCCGATGATCTCATGCGGTCGATAGCCGAAAGCATGAGCGAAGCGGCTAAAGTCGTTTGCATCGTGGATAGGCAGTCCGCGGAAGAGCAGTGTCCCGTGGCGAGCTAGAGCCTTGCTCAAGACTCCGTCCTGTGCTTGAAGGAATTTAACGCTCTCGATGACCGTATCCAGGGATAGTCGGAATGGGTCAGGAATCGATGGACGCAAAGCAAGCGGCGTGACTGTATCTCGAGGGTGCGGGGGCCCAAGGATGCGCTGGTTTGTTGGAGGAAGCTCAAATGATTCGAAGGATAATGGGGATCCCTGCGCATTGAAGCATTGCTGTTCTGGCCATCCGAACATGGTCGACATGATGGAGCAACTGGCGAACAATAATATGACCTTCAGCAGAATGGTCCAGGGGAGTTGCCAGGTTATATCTTCCAGTGTGTCTCAACCATATGACAGGACTCGAATGGACAGATGTTACACAATGATAGACGATCTGCAGAGCAACCCACCATAGCAATTGACCCCGCAGAGGATTAACGCATTGGATAACGCCATTTCCACTGGATGTTGCATGCAGACAGGGGCTGGAACCGGAATCTTCCGCTGAATTCTCCGTAACCAGAGAGATGCATAGCAGTGGCTCGAGGTCATGACGAATGCCCATGCCTGACAGGCTCTGGATTCTAACATCGCTGGGAGCTGCCCTGGTGCGCATATAAGTCATTCATCGGTCGACTCATGATTGGATCTATGGTTCGCATCCATGCACAGGAAAACCAGGAGTTTCCACTCTGCTTTTCCCACCCCTTTGCTGAGCAGCACAGCACATATTCCAATCGGCGTCCGAGAGACAGTGTCGAGGATGAGTGACCAGCATCTTCATACAGAGTTCTATGTCGCTACCAAGGGCACCGATCGATGATCTTGCCAAGAAGGTTGATTCACTCATTGGCATGTGGCTCAGCCATGGAGCATCGATTCAGCCTCGTGTCTGTGCTTCTACCAATACGAGGTGCTCAGTCTGGGCAATTTATACATTTTGTCTCTAAGCGAACCGAGCCAAGAAGGCCGCCTATTATTTATAACTCTCTTGGGCTCGGATAAGGCGGTCATCATCCCTGAAACGATCGTGATCCTCTTGGCCGTGCTCGATATGGCGTCTTCGACACCTGCGGCGCAGAGACCTGTCTCCAGCAATAAGGATGATAATAACGGCCCAGTAGGAGATTTATACTCTAAGATCATCACTGGGGGTTTTGGCCTGTGGGTTTCTGCTGTCGTCGTGCTCGGGCTTTCGGCTGGTATCATCTCAAAATCACCACCGAGTCCCTTGCGACCGCGGCCTCTTACAATCTGGCGGCGGTAGGCAATGTCTCAAACGTATTCAACAGATGCCTGACATTTGTCACAGTCTACGCTGGAATTCTTCCTCGCCTTTAGCTCCATCACCAAGCCCGTTTCATGTACCAATGCGAGACCCCGGGAGATGTTCATCGTCATCTTGGCCTTCACCACGCTGATGTGGGGTGCCGCGTTTCCCCTGATGTTTGTGATGCGAAGTAACCATGGCACGTACGAGATCATCAACCCTGATAAACGTGTCGTGCTCTCAATCGGTACAGGGATTGTCAGTGCTCTCCAGAATATCACCATTGCGTGTGCTTGTTTGGGGGTGTCTGCATTGTAAGTCCTTTTCTGTATTGCAACACAAGGCAGATGCTGATATGTATCCTGCACAGTATTTTCATTATTTATCAGTGGTACTGCGTGTGTCGATTGTTCTTGGGACGGTTTACTCCGGAGGAGATCCGTCAGGCACGTGAATAGACGAATGCCGTGGAATATAAGGTGTAGATATCTAGTATCAAACAATGGGAACCCAAGAGTATGCTACAAGATTGCTATTATCTTTGCTCTGGAACAATTGACATCATGACAAAGATCCTTGTATTCCCTCTGGCGAAATAATGGAAATGACATGGGCAAGTTTGTTCATAGACTGAACTCGATTCGATTTCCTGCATAATCTCTGGCGAAGAATCGTGTCGGGTATTCGACCCCAGTTTCCCCTACAGTCATGATCAGTAAAAGCCCATATCCCATGCAGAGTATTTTAGTCTCACCCGAACATTCACCCGGTGGATCAGCCTGTAGAGGAGCAGCCGGGCCGCCTCGAAGATGGTGATCATATATTCGCTGCTGCAACCTTTTGAGGTCCTCCAACGAGCCTACGCGAAGGCAGGGATGACGGGGAGACTCCGGTTCATTCTGTCCGAATGCAATGTGTATTTGTTGCTTTCCGTCTGGCGTGAGGTTGAACCTAATCGCTCAGCAATAGTCCACCGTTTAGCAGTCGATATAATTACCAGGCAGTTGTGTCTTTCTGTAGCTGGGGGACCGGAGCAGCAGTCAGCCCTAATGTATCCACGTAGAATGTGTATGCGTCATCCAATGTCCCTGGAGGAACAAGGAGATTGATATGAGAGATTCCAGTGATCATTCTGAGAGTACGCCTAGCAATGCTTCTGTTTAAGGTTGCTGGTTTGCGGGGATATCAAAGGAGTTATATATCGGACGATCCATCGGAACCCAAATCCCGTCGTCGGCAATCATCATTCATAGCCATTATCATGATCATCAACTCATTCTGTCATCCCGCGTGTAAAAGACAATGTGATCTCTGCAGCCTGCACCGAGACCTCCCATGTCTTTCGCAGGACTCTGATCCCCGTGATACTAATCTTCCACCAGCCCATAAAGAGTCTCCGATCGAGCTCATCTTCATCTAAGATCTCTGCCTCCAGCTGTCCGACTCCCTGCTTGCCATGTGCCACCAGCCAATAACCACCGACGCTGTTTTGTATATCAACCGGGAAGAAATGCCACCACTCAATCCTGCCGCAGTCAGGATGACTGTTCCCTCGGTCGTGGCCGTCTTTACTCCCACAGTGACAGGAATACACTCGCACACAGGGGACAACCATCAAGTACCCCTGCTTGTCCCCCGAGGCAAGATTCACAAACGCAATGCAGGCGTCGTACAGCTCGGAGTTATCCAGAGCTACCCCCTGTTGCCAGACGGCACTCCGGATCATGGGATCGCCAGTGACAGCATGAACGGCCATGCTGTCCAGCCGTATCTCGGCCGGAAATGGTGGAAGCCTTGGGGTCAGTGTCCAGTCCACTCGTACAAAGAGGCGGCCGAGCTGATCAAAGGACATGCAGTCGAACAGGTACGCATGAAAGCCCCGTGGATGAGTCGATGCTTGATGGCTTGCCAACTCATTGAGAAGCGACAATACCTGCTGCCGGTCTTCCGGTGGCGCCTCGTTCCACCGGCGACACGACATGATTCCCTGCTGGATGGCTGTTCCCCCTGCGGCAAAATAGTAGACAATCGTCCGCATGACAAGCCATAGAACCTGAAATCCGATCCAGAAGTACAGCGCTTCGGTCGGCTCATTGTCCAGGTGGATGAAAGTGCCCAGCAAACCCGCTAGGTTGACGCCAATGCCGACCCCCAGCACGATCCGCCACAGCGTATGACGCCGTATGTTGGCAGGAATCCCCAAGACGATCTTGCCTTGCTCGCCCATACGAAGCGGAGACGGTAGGATACCCGCTACCAGATGCCTTGTCCGCTTGGAAGGACTGTCGCGGCCCAGACCGGTAACCTGCAGGAGAACAGCAGCAACAAAGGCATGAGCCCAGCCCGCCATCGTCCACGCCCAGACCCCTCGACTACCCACTTTTCGGAGTGCAAAGACCTCTATCAGCTTGACCAGCGACAGGAAAAGACAGATCCAATCCCTCCAGGGCGATGGAAGGCCCCCTTGGTCGGGAATAAAACGGTAGATGTCAATCGGCGATCCCTTCTCCGCCGCCGGGACCGTGTCCAGCGCCAGCTGAGCATTTTTGTCCATTGTGTAAATCACATGCGCTGTGTACACGTCCTCGTGCGACTCGGACGCTTTGATCCGGGCGATTGCGTCCATTTGCGCGGCCTCGTGCGCTGTCATCATGCCAGACCGGCGCTTCCACTGTTGCAGGGAGAGGAGAGGAGCAACATCCGGCCAGCCATTTGTATTTCCTGCCCATGTCAAGGCCCATCGACCTATCCAACGCCGGCACGGGACGATCTCGATTGCACCCGCGTCGCCGAAATCGATACGGCTACGCGCTCGTCGGAACCGGTTCACGGGCAGGATGACTCCGAGGGCATTATCGACGAACTGATTGCGGAGTCCCATCGATTCGCGCAAGGAGTCTGGCACCGAGGCAGACAGACACGCCTTAATAACATGAATTTGACCGAAACAGCTCATGGGAGCCCAGACGAGGGCACAGGCCGCCTTGAGGCCGTGAATCAGCGCTTCCGCTATCGGGGCGCCTATGATCGTGGACACGGCCGATATCTCCACCAGGTTGCCTCCTATTCGAGACATATCGGTCGCTGCGACAGTTTGCACCAGGGAATAGAAGATTTCCGATACGGCGCTGGTTATCGAGAGAATCGGCCACAGAAGCCAGTCGGTAACATGGTTGGCGATGGCCGGAAGCGAGTCTTGTAGAGGAAAGGAAGCATTCATTTCGTATTCGACTCACTCGCAAGAAAAGAAAAGTGATATTCCAGCCAAGCGCAAGGCTGAGAGGCGTTCACGACGAGATGGAACAGGTCTTCACCTCAGCTGATGAGGAGCTCACGAGGTTCTGTGTGACCGAACAAGCCACAGCGCCTCAAGACTCGTGTTTCTCACATATTAGCATGATTGGAGCCAATGACAAGCTATTCACGGGTCGGGTATATTTGCTAGGTTTGGCATGCAACTAGGCGAATCGTGCAGATATCATTGGGCGGTTTGCTCTTTTCTGCAGCATAGACCAGGGTGATCTCTGTTTGCCCTCTGTATGACAGCCGGCCCCTCGATCAACCCGGAGTCATGCTTAGTCCATCATAGATATGTGCCTGAAATGACTGTCATACAAAGGCTGCCAGTAAGCGCATTACTCCATGATCGACTCATTTCGTTGACGAGTAAAGACAGCATCGAAACCACACCATGTCCGCGGAGGCTTGGACCGTGACCTCGAATATTTCGCTTGCACCAGAACATCCTCGCACAACAGGGCCACCACTGCGTTCCTGAGAATCCATGAAAGCAAAAGTAATGGAATGGTATAGGTCGGCACCTGAGAGATATGGGAAGGAATCCCTGTCGACTGCTCTACAAGGTCTTTGCGCCTTGGGTTTCCCGGGGTAAATGCAGGATCAGGACCCAGGATCTGTGTATCAATTATTCTGGCAATCTAGCATATCGGAGGCTTTATAAATCGTAATCAAGGTTTTCATGTCTGGCGAGAAGGATCTGGATTCTCCGTCACGTTGCCACGGTTGCGATTTCACCATAGAGCAGGGGTCCTTATTGGATTCCGCTACGGTTAAGAGAGCTAGGAATCAGTCAGCATGAAGTTAGGATAGCTTCAAAGTTCTGCTGAGGATCTGGACGGTCTTACAGAGTGGTATAGGCTGGTAGGTTTCCATCGGTCATGCCTGCTCTAGATTATGAGTGTTCGTTCTTGCAGATGGAGGGACGCAATGGCTACGTACATGATGCCGCGACGAGTGACCAGTCATATGAGATGCTTTGTCGCTATGCTCTCAGGATAGGAGAAGCCAAATGATGAAGATACTCGTGACCAGAATCATTACCACGGACTCGCAAACGGCAGCAGGCAGGAATCGGTGTTCTCATCGTAATATTACGCAGGGGCTATCCGAGTTGAAGCAATGGTGTCATAGTGCAGCGACATTCCAACCTGACCTGGCGATTGTAACCTCATATTCAAGTTTCAATTGATCTCTTAAACAATGGTACACCTGGCTTCTTGACATCAGTTGAAGGCGGCGGGCTGGGGTTGAGAATATAAAATATCTCATACCACAGGGTCTATGATATTCAGAACGCATCTCTAGTCCGAATTCTGTTCTGCAGTCATGTCTTTCAGAAACCTTCAAGACCTTTTAGAGGCCACTGCTTCTCACTTCGATGCCGGAAGAGTCATAACATACTCCCATGGGAACAAGAAAGTCCCCTTCTCATGCTCCTATGGCGAATTGCTCCATGCTGCCAAGCAGGCGACACGATCCCTGCAATTCCGTACGCATATCCGGCCTGGATCGGTGGTTCTTTTGCACTTTGACCGCCATTGGGATGGGATCCTCTGGTTCTGGGCTGTGCTTTTGGCTGGGTGCATCCCGGCCATGTCCACTCCGTTCTCTGGTAATCCGGACCATCGCGCCGCGCACCTGGAACATCTTGCACAGACCTTGGAGAATCCAGTATGCCTGACGACTGCCTCGCAGCTGCTTGAATTCCAAGACCAGGATGTCATTACTCCAATCTGTGTCGAGTCCCTTTTGAACGACAAGAACGGGAATGAAGCAATGGAAGAGGGAAGTCTGTTCTACGACTCGCAGCTCAATGACACCGCCGTGTTGATGCTCACATCCGGTAGCACCGGCTATTGCAAGGCTGTCTGCCTGAGCCATGGCCAGATTCTGGCCGCTATCGCGGGTAAATCGTGGATGCTGACCCCGAGCACTGGTACCTCGTTGATGAACTGGGTCGGGCTGGACCATGTGGCTGCTCTGATAGAGATTCATCTTCAAGGACTGTACATACGCAGAGACCAGATCCATCTCCCTGCTCCTGATGTCCTGACCGAGCCCCTCTGCTTCATCGAGATGATCAATCGCCACCGTGTATCGCGCACCTTTGCCCCCAATTTCTTCCTTGCCAAGCTTCGAACGGCGCTCAAGGACCAGGCCGATACAGATTCTGAATCTCACTGGGATCTCAGTTGCCTCCGCTTCATCTGTTCTGGTGGAGAGGCGAATGTGACCAGGACCTGCGAGGAGGTGTCGTCGCTGCTGGTGAGATATGGAGCACCGCCGAACGTTATCATCCCCGGATTCGGCATGACAGAAACATGTGCTGGTGCCATTTTCAACACGTCCTGCCCCAGGTACGACATCGAACACGCCCTGAAGTTCACCTCAGTCGGAGCTTGCATGCCCGGAATCAAGATGCGTATCACCTCGGCTGGACAGAATGTTCCGGCTGGAACAGTTGGCAGTCTCGAGGTAAGCGGGCCTGTCGTGTTCAAAGCTTACTTCAACAATCCGACAGCCACAGAAGCCTCGTTTACTCCAGATGGCTGGTTCAAAACTGGCGACAGGGCACTCATCGATCAGAACGGTTGGTTGACGCTGATGGGTCGGTCTAGGGATACGATGATCGTCAACGGTGTCAAGTACAACCCGCAAGAGATTGAAAGCACGGTGGACGATGCCAGCATCCCAGGTGTGACTCCAACTTTCACCTGCTGTTTCTCTTGCTTCCCGCCCGGAGGGGATACGGAGGAGATTATTCTGGTTTACCTGCCCTCGTACGACCCTGACGACACTGTTGCTCGGGTCCACGCCACCGACGCCATTGTCAAAGTCGTTATGATGTCCACTGGAGCGCGCCCCTCAGTTCTGCCGGTGGACGGTGCCATGTTACAAAAGTCTGCCCTGGGAAAGCTGTCCCGAGGCAAGATCAAGACAGCCTACGAGAGAGGCGACTACAAGACCTACCAGGAAACCAACCGGGAAATGATCGCGCGGTATCGGGAGGATACGCGCCAGCAACCCCAGAACGAGATGGAGCAGCGGCTCCTGAGCATCTTCACGACCTCGCTGGCTGGTCTCTCGGGCGACTTCGATGTCGTCACACCTATACTAGACATGGGAATTTCCTCCATCGAACTGATCAAACTCAAGAAGAACCTCGAGGAGCACCTAGATCTCGTGCAAGACATTCCACCGATTACGCTCATGATCAATCCCACAGTTCGTTCCCTGGCCGAGGCACTCGAAGACGCCCAGAGGAAGACCCGTTATGATCCCGTCGTGATACTGCAGAGCCAAGGTGACAAGCCGCCATTGTGGCTCGTTCACCCCGGCGTCGGTGAGGTTATGGTCTTTTTGAACTTGGCCAGATATATCGTCGATCGACCCGTGTACGCCCTACGGGCTCGGGGCTTCGACGAGGGCGAAACGCCGTTTGAAACCATCCACGAGGTTATCACGACGTATCACGCCAGCATCAAAAAGAAACAAGCCAAGGGCCCATATGCACTGGCCGGATATTCCTACGGATCCATATTAGCCTTTGAAATTGGAAAAACCCTCGAGCACAACGGGGACGAGGTGGCCTTCCTGGGCTCGTTCAACCTCCCTCCACACATCAAGGCTCGCATGCGCCAGCTCTGCTGGAAGGAATGTCTGCTTCACCTGTGCTACTTTCTCGACCTGATCAGCGAACGCCGTGCCCAAGAACTGTCGGGAGAGATGGGAAACATGTCGCGCGGTGAAATCCTCTCTCGGGTCATGAGCGAACTCAACCAGTCCCGGTACTTGGAGTTATCGCTCTCGCTGTCACAGCTGGAGAAGTGGGCTACTATCGCGTTCTCGCTGCAGAGTATGGCGGTTGACTATGACCCGAGCGAGTCGATTGCCTGCATTGATGTCTTCTACTGCAATCCGTTAGCGATTGTGGCTTCATCCAAGAGGCAGTGGTTCAGAGAGCACCTGAGTAAGTGGAAGGACTTTACGCGCTCGGAGCCAAGATTTCACGAGGTTGAGGGTGCTCATTACACGATGCTCAATGCGGATCACGTCTTTGCTTTCCAGAAGACCTTGCGTAAGGCGTTGGCTGCAAGGGGTCTATGATATCTTATAAGATGCATGGAATGTTCATCATCTGTGGCTAATCATATAAGGTCTCGGTTGATTGATTCTGGACATGTAATGATCCCGAGTACTTCCGGTCTTTCTGCATCTGGTCAAGGGACTCGAGGGAGGCTCCATTGCAGTTGTACATTTTATACGGAACTTGCCGAAGCCAGAGAGTCACGAGGGATTGTTAATGGAGATATCGATCTACCTGCTAATGAATATTCACATTCACTTGTCAATGATCATAAGCATGGAGATATTATTGATAACCAGAACCTGGAATGTGAATACAAGACATTGACCCCCGACTATATAAGCTCGATGCTGCTTCCTTCTCAGTTTCTCTCCTGTCAACCTCTCCTCTTGACTACCCATCTCGACTGCTGTCCTCGAAGAGACTACTATCTCTGCATATCATTGAATCTAAAATAACTCTACCACTTGAATACGCTACAATGGCCTCCTTTTTCCGTGAGGTCCGCCGAGTCAATGGCCAATTGTACGTTGGCGACATGCCCATTTCCAACTACACAGTGGTTGTCAGACCTCAGCCAATGCCTCAGTTTGATCATCAATATGATGAGTACGTTGTACCCCTTTGCGTCTGTGATTTGGACTAAGAAATTGCTGCAGTGAACAGGATGCCGACAATGTCGTCCAGTGGTTGTTCGGCCACGGCGATGAGGAACAGGCGAATGATCATGAGGGACAAAATGATCCTATCTATATGACAAACTGCCCCTGGTGCATACGGAGTACGCCTTTCTACAAAGAACCTCATACATTGTAGATTGCTAATATCAATCGACAGGACTGCAATCTGGTCACCGCGAGCTGTGCCTAGCTTGCAGGGCGTTAGTTGCCCTGGGAATGGCCATCTTTCTGATCCTTTTCTTTTTGCCTCTTTTCTGCTTTCTCATAGTACTCTGAGTGGGATGATGAGATGGATATGATGTGTCTTGCAATCAAACCTGAGCGTGGGAAGATACTGTCGATCGGTTCAAGAGATGTATTCGACTGTTCAATGATTTTCAGACGCACTTTGGAAGATGGCGCTCTAACTGTCTTGGTCAATGTTATTGAGAATCTGATCATGTTGTGATATTACCATGAGCACGGTGTGTTTGTTGTATTTTAGCTGATTCTTTATTGGGAAATCCGAGGTTATTATAAATCAACCCAAGAAACCAGCAAAGCACCCAATGACGGCGACTACAATAGTGATGTATTTCTAATCATCCATCGGGGTGATATCCAGCCGATTTCGATATTAAATACACACATCTCCCTGTCCTTCATTGTGTCATATGCATCCTATATCTCCGTAGCAAATTCATCATGCCCACCATCCGTGTAGGTCTCATCGGCCTCTCTGGCGCCACCGATTACGAGGGCACTGCCTGGGCACCAAATGCTCATCTCCCATATCTACAACGATCGGAGTATTTCACTATTACAGCGTTGCTCAACTCATCCGTTGAGTCAGCTCGGGCTGCTATCAAAAAGTACAGTCTCCCAACAGATACCAAGGCGTATGGCAATCCACAAGGTGCGTTCATCTATCACCGCGCGGTTGTTGAATGATATTGACTCACAAGACCTTGCCAATGATCCCGACATCGACCTGGTAGTCTGTGTTGTCCGAGTCGACCGACATTTCCAGACGGTGCGTCCCAGCTTGGAGGCCGGCAAAACTGTCTTTGTTGAGTGGCCCCTCGACCGCAATCTAGATGTTGCAAAGGAAATGGCTGCTTTGGCGGCCGCTCACAACGCAAAGACCATTGTCGGACTGCAGGCTTCCTACGCACCAGTCATCCGCAAGCTGCGTCAGTTGGTAGACGAGGGAGTCATTGGCCGAGTTATGTCCAGCACGCTTCTAGGGTCGTGTGGGAATGATGTCGCCTCTGAGAGCAAGAATGTGCGATACTTTCTCGACAGAACGGTGGGGGGAAGCCCGATGAGTATTCATGTCGGACACACCCTCGAGACTGTGACTTCCGGTATGTCCACCTCACCTGTGGCAATATGCCACATGCTGACAGTAGACAGTCCTTGGCGAATTCAAAGCCTTCACCAGCAGCTGTGCCATCAGTCGCCCGGAGCTGGACCTTGTGGATTACGCGGACGGCGGAAAGGTGGTCGAGCAATCCGTCCGCAACACCGTTCCAGATCAGATCCTGATGCACGGCACGACAGAGAAGTCGGATGCATTCGTCAGCATCAATCTGTACGCAGGGAAGGAAATGCCAGGTCTGCCCCGACTCGACTGGCGGATTCAGGGGGAGAAAGGCTGGCTCCGAGTGACTTCACCGATGTTGTTCCTTAATGTCGGCACCCCAGAGACCAAGTTGGAGCTGTATCGTACCGAGTCTGGCCAAGTCGAAGAGGTCCAAGTGGACGAGGACGAATGGGATTCGCTGCCCATCCCTGCCCAAAATATCGCGCGACTTTACGAGGCGTATCGTAAAGGGGAGTGGTATCCTACATTCGACTGGGCTTTAAGGAGACATGAACTGATTGATGGGATGTGGAAGCGATTTGATCAGGGTATCCATTTGAGCTGAGATTCACAGGACATTATATGACATGTATGCTAGTTCTCTAAGTTTCTCTACGTTCATGAGTTTGCGATATTAGAGGACTATTTTGCTGCAGGCCATCTTCTGTAAAGTAAATAGTCCGCCAGCATCGATGCACTTTTCATTGGTGAGCCCATTGGCAGATCTTATGTATTTGAAACAGAAAATATGGTCTATTCTCAATGAACAAATCTGTATCCAATGCAAAATGATACCAGGTTGAATTGCGAGTCGACTGACACCATTCCGTCCCGCAATGATGTGACCCGGCGATGACCCCGAGGCCCATTTCCCCTCACCAGACGGCCGAATCATGAGATGTGTGTCGATGACAATTTGGAGATGAATCGACGCAATTCCCTTGCCAATGGCGTGTATCCTTTGATTTTGCGCCCTTGGTGTGGTGTGATATTTCATGTGGAGACCAGCAGAGGAGTATATAGGACCATCTTAGGCAATGTCCTTGCACTACCGGAAGCATCAATCGATCGAGATTACAGCCACAATGACAGCGATCCAGGGTCCCACTGGCAGCGAGACGCACTTGGAGAACGGGAATCGATTTATTCTAAATCATCCGGCCGATAAGAATGCACCGATCACTCAGGTGAAGACGGTCGAAGCGAAAGAAACGCATCCACAGACGAGACCGAAATTTGAGCTCGAGGACCATCCCATCGACGAGGTTCGACAGATCAAGGTCGGGGTGATTGGAGCTGGACTGTCAGGCATTACAGCCGGAGTATTGCTGCCTGCTAAGCTGCCCGGACTGGACCTGAGAATCTATGACAAGAATGCCGACGTGGGAGGCACATGGTAAGACATTGGCAAGAAATCACAGCGTCGACTGACACCATCATCAGGTTTGAGAACACGTATCCCGGCGTGAGATGCGATATCCCTGCGCATGTGTATCAATCCGGATTCGAGCCCAACACGCAGTGGACGGAGGAGTTTGCCCAGGGCCATGAGATCCGCGAGTATTGGCAGCGTGTCGCTCGCAAGTACGATGTCTACAAATATCTCCGGCCACGGCAGAAGGTGCAGCAGGTGGAATGGCTCCCTAAAGAAGCCATATGGAGGGTTATTCTGGAGGATCTGGAGGGTGGAAAGGTATTTCTTTTTTCTATAGACGATTGAACACGACCTAATATTTCTAGGTCTACGAGGAGAAGCTGGACGTCGTGGTCAATGCCATCGGTCACTTCAATGCATGGAAACTGCCCGACTACGAGGGCATCAATGACTACCAAGGCGATCTGTTCCATTCCTCCAACTGGAATCACAACGTCGACTTGAAAGGCAAAAGGGTCGCACTTATTGGCAATGGAGCCTCTGGGCTGCAGGTGCTCCCGTCCATCCAGCCCGTCGCAGCACACGTGGATCACTACGCCCGGAATCGCACTTGGATAGCAGATTCGTTTGGCACTACGGGCGTTCGACGACTGGAACCGAATCTATTCTCTTCAGAGCAGCTTAAGTCATTCAAGGACCCGGAGGAGTATCTGAAGTACCGCAAGAGCGTCGAGCAGGGCTACTTCTCCCGTTTCGGAGCTATTTTCAAAGACTCGCCCGAGAACAAAGAACTGCGCGAGAAATGGACCAAGCTGATGCTGCAACGTGTTAGCAACAAACCCGAACTAGGAGACAAGATCATCCCTGACTTTCCTCCCAATTGTCGTCGTCCTACGCCGGGACCAGGCTACCTGGAGGCGCTCACGAAGGACAATGTCAGCTACATCCAGACGCGTATAAAGAAGTTCACAGGCAAGGGAATCGTTACGGAAGATGGAACGGAACGCGAGGTCGATGTCGTAATCTGTGCTACAGGAGCCAACGTCGACCACGCGCCTCCCTTTAGCATCATAGCGGATGGCATCGATTTGAAAAGCGCATGGAAAGCTGACGGATTGTACGGCCATCCATACAACTACCTTGGTGTTGCCACACCCGGTTTTCCCAATCTATTCTGGATTGGAGGTCCCCATTCCACCGGACACAGCGGCAGTGTCCCCAACAGCATCGAGAATCTGGTTACCTATGTCGCCAAAATCCTGCGCAAGATCCGCAGCCAGGGCATACGGACGATGCAGCCTTCTAAAGCGGCCACAGACGACTTTGTAGAGTACTGTGACCAATTCTATCCGCGGACGGTGTGGAACGAGAACTGCAGTTCGTGGTACAACGGTGGTCGACCTGGAGGGAGGATTCATGGTCTGTTTCCTGGGAGTGCAGTGCATCTCAACTATATCCGACGTGACCCGCGGTGGGAGGACTGGGAGTACACATACACCAACCCCAGTGAAAATCGATTTGCTTACTTTGGCAATGGGTGGAGGCAACGAGAGTTGGACAGTGAGGCTGATCTGACGCCGCATCTGAAGAAGCCAGAGACGATTGATCTCCGGTCATATCTCGAGGGTTGGTGGGATGTTTGAATTCATGTTATACTTGTTGCTCTTATGAAGTAGATATGCGTCATCGATAATTGATAAAATGCAACTATTCTCTTGCATATGTAGGAACTTCCTCTCCCTCCCTCCAGAAGTACTTGGCTCCTGGATGCGCCTCTGGCAGTCGATTCTGGCCCTTCAGACCATACATGTTCTCTCGCAGCGTCCCTCCTCTCACAGTGTAGTCCTCCCAGAAAAGACCCCGTCGGCGCAGTTCGGGCAGCAGATACGTGATGATATCGTCAAATGTCCCTGGGATGGTGGCGTAGCTGAAGTTGAATCCGTCAACGTCGGCCACTTCCACCCATCGTTCCAGTTCATCGGCCACCGTCTGGGGACTTCCAATCACCTTGGCTCCGTTCCCACCCAGACGCAGATACTCGGCGATTGTCTTCTTGTCCCACTTTTTCCCATCCGTTCCAGGGACTGTACTTGCCCAGTGGTTGACCATGCTGCGGATGGCGGGCTGCTCGACAAAGCGAAAGTCCTGATCATCCCCGTACTTGGACAGGTCGTACCCCGACCATCCACCAAAGAGCGCCAGGGCACCCTCTGTGTCGCCATAGCCGGCCAACTCCTCGAACTTGGCCTGCGCCGCTTCGTCCGTCTCGGCCACAATGACCAGCAAGCCGGCGATGATCTTGATCGACGCAGGATCTCTCCCAAAGTCCTTCGCCTGCGACCGAATACTATCCACCGACGTCCTCACCAACTCTGGCTTCTGCCCATTCAGAAAGATGGCCTCCGCGTGTTTGGCGGCGAACGTCTTGCCCGCCGACGAGGTGCCAGCTTGCAACAAGAATGGCGTGCGCTGCGGACTCGGCTCGCAGAGATGCGGGCCAGGAACGTTGAAATACTTGCCCTGGTGATGGATCTGCCTCACAGCCTGGGGGTCAGCGTATCCAGCCACACCATCCTTGTGGCTGACAGCTCCATCTCGCCACGAGGCCTCCCACAGCTTGTAGGTGACGTCCAGATACTCGTCCGCTATCCGATACCGCTCATCATGCTCCACCTGCGTATTGAGACCAAAGTTCCGCGCCGCGGAGTCCAGGTACGAGGTGACGATGTTCCATCCCACGCGTCCGTAACTGAGATGGTCCACCGTTGAGAACCGCCGGGCGAGAGCGTAGGGAGCATCGTATGTTGTCGACGCGGTGATGCCAAAACCGATACTCTCGGTTGCGGCCGCCATGGCCGAAACACTGTACAGGGGGTCGTTGATGGGGAATTGTGCGCCGGCGGGGATGGTCGGCTCGAGGTTGGCAGGACCTCTATAGACATCGTAGCCACCGAGCACGTCGGCGAAGAAAATGGCATGAAACTTGGCTGCTTCCAGCTTCTGTGCCAGAGCGATCCAGTTCTTGATGGATTTGTAGTTGGGTCCTTGGTCTGTGGGATACCGATGGAGACCGGGATTGAGATGGGAGGGCGATTGCATGGCAAACGCGTTGATGATGAGTTGTTTTTTCTGTGTTGAGCCCATGGTTGTGACTATAGAAATTGATTGAAGAAGGTCAGAGAATGACTGAATTGGCTATGAATTAATTGTGAGTCATTCCTTGGATTGCACTGAGTAGATATAGTACGGAGCTTTTTGCATAGGGTAAATAAGGACGGGATTAGATCCGCACAGTTGTCGATTCCTACCCCTCATGAAAGCTCCATCATAGGAGGCAATGTGAGGGCAAAACCTGTGAAATAATCTGCCGTCGCTACCGAGTGAAAAGGGAGAGTATTGAGCCTGTCTCCGAGGATGTCAGTGGGCCGTGGAGGCGTGCGCAGGATATCAAATTGCGCCACACTTGGCATTGATTGTAAAGCAACTGCAAATGGGAAGAGACGGCTGATATGACGTAGGATAATCCTTCTCTCAAGTTTGATCTCATGTAGAGACTCATGCATCCTGGCTCACAGTCGCTCCAGGTAGAATTGCTAAAGAGAGGCCCAGGAAGACGGAATGTTCTAACTCAAAGGTCTAGGGGTATTCTGGCATATGTTCTGGAATTGCTCTCTAAGGATGCATAGATATGTTGACTACCGTCCTAAATTCATGACAATTCTCTTGCCTGACGCCGTTCCCTGTCTCAAGACTTCTAACGAGGCGTTGATTCCCTCCAGCCCTCCGTCTGCCAGGATGATCTCCGGCAATCGAATTGTGTCTGTTTGTAGCAGCTCCTCTAGCCAAGTCACCATAAGCTCACCCACTGCAGGAGACTTATGAAACAACTTAATTGGAACAGTATGGTAGATGACAGTGTTGTCCCTCTGTTTGGGTAGCCCAGTCAGCCCCAACAGATGCGCATGCGAGCCATCTTCGTGCACGGAAGCATCGAGTGTCTGCTGCAATAGAGTTGCCGTGTCCCGGCCCACAATATCAATAGCATATCGCAGCTTTCCCTGGGTTACACCGCGGATGATCTCTATTGCCCTTGCGGTATTGTGGCGATCGACAAGTAGATCTGCGCCAGCATCGAGGAGTTTGGCGCCATGCCGAGCTACATCCGCCACGCAAATGACTCTTAATCCTGCGAGTTTGGCAAGTTGTAGAGCAATATATCCCGTCGTTGTGGATGCTGACTTATATTAGCCCAAGCGCTATCACTGATGGTAGTGTCAGTCTCACCTCCCCAGATTGCAAGCCAATCCCCTGGCGCTATTCGTTCAGCTTGCAAAGATGACGAAAAGCACTCATCCGTGATATCTTTTGGAAGTTCATTGCGATCCATCCGCAAGAGGGCTCCGGGAAGGTCGGGACCGGGACATCTTCGAATGTGATTAAAATCCAACCCGAATGAGACCCCCAATGCCAAAGCAGCGGCAACAAACGCCACCCCCAAGGATGCAGAGGCATGTATATTGCCCGTGTGCGGAATGCGAGCAGCGTTGAAATGCGTCGCCACCGCATATTCCTGAAATGCAGCCTTGCGCATGTCCCGGTAATCCGTGGACGGGACGAGGACGATATCACCGACTCGAAGACGCGAACAGCCGTCGGACACCTGGATGACCTCACCGGCTAGGTCACGGCCGTTGATCCATGGGAGGGCTGGGATGCCAAAATTGTATGCACTGAGAAGGTGAGAAATGCTCATTTTGAGGCCATGGATACTTACGGCCCTTTCCAGTCGATAGGATTCAACCCAATAGCCATGATCTATGGACGTTAGAACATTCAAGGAAAACCAGCCGCATCATACCTTGACTAAGATCTCATCTCTATGAGAAACCGTAGGGATGTCATAATCTGTGACAAGGGTATATTGCTCCCCTACGCCCTTCAATAACAGGGCGCTCTGTTTCGTCCTCTTATGTTGCTTGGTTGCTGATGCGACTTCGAAACGATGGGTGATTGTAGGCTCTGGTGATTTTCCCGCAGACAAATGACAATGGAAGAGCGACTCTTCAAGGCGATTCGCTCTGATATAAGTAGATACTGTAGTCATTCTGTTAGGGTGAAAGGATTCTGGAGTTGTGGCGTAGAGTCGAGGGTGTCTGTCGATTGAGATGACTGAATATCAGAATACGACTACGACGGTGTGCGCTTTACATTGACCAAGTATTAGCTGATCTTTCCCGTCTATTATTGAATTACTGACTCGCCAGCTATACTCGAATCCAATATCGCGTCCCCTTGCTCTCCAAGGTGATCCCCCGTATGGCGCATGGCGGGGTTATGATGGCGTGATAAAGGCACAACAGTGGTTCAGGAGACGACGGTTTATCATCTAAACAGACTATGTCCAGTTTCTCGGTCGAGAGAATGCTCTTATGATACTCTCCTCGCCAACCAGGTAGTCGCTATGGAGCTTGTTGACGGTCTTGTCTCAGGATCAGACCGCGATGATGTGATTAGGGCTGGCGATGGCGGGCTGATAGCAAGTGGAATTGAAGAATCAGGACGTATCAGGAAATACAAACTTCAAATTTGCAAATGCTAGTTGGCACGTTGACAGTTGCCTCGACACCATCGAGGTAGCCTATCTCCAGTAATACAGTAGACTGAAGTCAACTTTGTGAAAAGCATACAAGCTTTCACTCGAGTCTGTTATCTGTAAATAAGAGCAATCCCATGACTGCAACATCTACAAGGATGCCACAGCTCCGACTGTCAGATCAGCATTATTAATGCTTTGGGCTGTACACAACCGCGGCCAACAATGGCGTGCCTGGAATGATGTTACACCAGAACTGCTTCTTATATGTAGCTCAAGTACAGTATCAAAAGAAAACGGTTGCAAATACTGCTGCTATTGGTATACAAGATGGACGACTCTGAAAATCAACCACTGTTACATCCCACATCCGCTCTGTATGAAACGCTTTCCTACGAGTCCATACAGGATATCAGGCCAAATGGACGTCCTGTGTCTAGCCGCAGTACAATCCCCGAGACAGCCACCTACGGCCGCAATGTCACCTGGTCGAGCGCCTATATTCTGGTGATATCGCGCGTCATCGGCAGCGGCATCTTCGCAACCCCGGGCTCAATCGTGAAGTCGGTCGGAAGCGTTGGTTTGGCGCTGCTGGTATGGCTCGTGGGCACGATCCTCGCGGCATGCGGCCTGGCTGTGTCTATGGAGTTTGGCTGTATGCTCCCTCGATCTGGCGGCGACAAGGTCTATCTCGAGTATACGTATCTGCGCCCTCAATTCCTGGCGTCGACGTTGGTCGCCGTTCAGGCTGTTTTGTTAGGCTTTACGGCAAGCAACTGCATTATATTCTCCAAGTACACCCTGTTTGCTCTGAACATTGAGCCTACCGAGTACCAGCAAAAGGCTCTGGCAGCAGGTCTGATGACCGCCATTACCATTGTCCACGGGTGCTTTCTTAGAACCGGCATATGGATACAGAACCTCTTGGGATGGATGAAGATCTCCATGATCGCAGCAATGACACTGACTGGGCTCTGGGTGATACTCTTTCGGCGCGCGGACTCCTCCATGTTGGTCTCGAATAGTATTGATAGGACTGGATACGACGTCTTTCTGTGGGACAATCTGTGGAAAGGGTCGAATTGGAGCTGGAGCTTGCTTTCAACATCCCTCTTCAAAGTGTTCTACTCGTATGCCGGGTTGAATAATGTGAACAACGTCCTCAACGAGGTGCAGGACCCTATCCGGACAGTCAAAACTGTCTGTCCGTCCGCTCTCCTTACTGCCTGTTGTCTTTACCTGCTGGCAAACGTCTCCTACTTCCTCGTCGTTCCAATCGAGGAGATCAAGAACAGTGGTGAGCTTGTTGGGGCCCTCTTGTTCGAACGCGTCCTCGGTCAGCATGTTGGCAGGACCTTGTTCCCTCTGGCGATTGCCATTTCCGCTGCAGGAAATGTCATGGTAGTCACCTTTGCCTGGGTAAGTTGACTCAAATTGACTAAAAGTACAGTAGATGACAGCTACAGGCGCGAGTGAATCAGGAGATTGCTCGACAGGGCTTTCTCCCCTTTTCCTCCGTGCTATCATCGTCTCGCCCGTTTAGCTCTCCCCTGGGCGGTTTGATTGTGCATTATGTCCCTTCACTTTTGGTGATCGCGCTTCCCCCTCCAGGAGACGTGTACAATTTCATTCTAGATGTCGAGGGCTATCCAGGCCAGATCTTCGCGTTGGCCATTGCAGTTGGCCTCCTGATTGTGAGGCGACGTCAACCTAATCTTCCACGACCTTTCAAAGCATGGCTCCCTGCGGTCTGGCTCCGAATCGTCGTGTGCGTTGCTTTACTGGCGGCACCGTTGATTCCTCCTCCGGACAGAAAGGGCGACGTGGACTTTTTCTACGCAACTTATGCAGTCGTGGGAGTTGGAATGTAAGTCTCCCGACCTATTCAGAGGATTGGCTGACAGATACAGTCTACTCTTTGGGGTGATCTATTGGTATGTTTGGACGGTTCTTCTTCCACGGTGGGGAGGATACAGATTGGAAGAAGAGGTGGATATGCTGGATGATGGGACCAGCATTACGAAGCTTGTGCCGTCATATATTCTCTAGGCTATTCATTGACGTTCTATATAATCCTGAATTCTCTGGCAAAGGGTAATTCTTATACATCATGGCTTGTAGACGTGCTAGCTATAACTTTTTCCCTCTATGTCCTGACGACGTCCACTTCATGTACTACACAGGTGATGAGCCCTTGTCTAGATTGGGTACGAGGAACACCGACCTCTTAGATGTAGGCTCAGTAGGGACGTGCCCTTTCTGCAGGTCGGCTGGGAACAGGGATATGACCATGAAACGATGGCATAAGATCCACAAGCAACTACCTCACCATGTTGTGTCAGACAGGATGGCCAGATTAGAAATGCACGGGCTACATTACAAATGCATCACTAGGATTTCATTTGCCATCTGCGAGCATCACATGTTGTGTGGATGCTGTACAGCACCTTGAAAAGCAACACATCAATCACAGGGTCTGTCGGAGCCAATCGCCAAATTTCGTATTTCTCAGCAACTGGTAGTTTCTAATCTGATGCTCGAATCTACGGTCATGACGTGCTGATCTGACAAATGCCCTACCCCGCAAGAGAACTTGTTGATATAAGACCATTCAACGGAATAGCTGATATTGATAGCATCTACTATTCATCAAATTCAGAAGCAATTACAACCGAGAACATCCGGACTATGGCATCAGCAGCTGTTCAACTCCCAACTACGCATGAGCCTCGAGCTCAAAGCAAGTCTCTTCCTCCGACTGCCAATGCGCGGCATCATGTGCAGACCACTCTTAATTTCCTGAAAGAGAACGAGGATGGTTCTCCCCCAGCTCCTACTTACGTCGGCAAGCCAGAGACCTACTACCGACCTTCGGTGACGCTGCCAGTTACCGTCCACGATGTCAGCGGCCACGAGCTAGAGTATACACTGGACAAGAACGGGTTCCAATTTTACTACCACGAAAGCAAGGAGAAGGAGTTTCTCGACGATGAGAAGATCAAGCGGGAGTACTACCCAGAGACGGAGCAGCTGCTCAAAGATGCGTGAGTTGCATGCATGCCATCGCAGCCATCCTCAGTGGAAGTACGCTGACATCAACAATCAGCACTGGTGCATCCAAAGTCTTCATCTTCGACCATACGATCCGCCGCAAGCCGCAAGATGAACGCACACCCGCCGCTCAACTCCGCGGTCCCGTCCAGCGCGTCCACATCGACCAGTCCTACGCAGCAAGCAAGGACCGCGTCTCCTACCATCTCCCCGACGAAGCTCCAGAGCTCCTCAAGGGCCGATACCAGATCATCAACGTCTGGCGGCCCATCAGAACCATCCTCAAGGATCCGCTGGCCGTCGCAGACGCGCACTCAGTCCCGGACGATGACCTTGTCCCGACAAAACTGATCTATCCGAACCGGGTGGGAGAGACGTACTCGGTCAGGCCGAATCCGGGCTTCAAGTGGTACTTTCGGTACGCGCAGCCTCCGGAGCTGGTGACGCTGATCAAGTGCTTTGACTCCAAGACGGATGGGCGGGCGAGGAGGGTGCCTCATTCTGCGTTTGTTGATCCAGCAACCGAGGGAGAGGCGCCGCGGGAGAGTATCGAGGTTCGCGCATTGGTGTTTCATCCGGAGGATCAGGAGTAGTCTTGTATCGTTTAGGCTGGTTGGCCTACTATTCGCAGATGGAAATGCACTCAGGCAAATGAGATGCCATACCATAGTTCTTTGATTCCTTTTGTGGCCTTTTAAGATAATGCAGAATAATTTATCAAACTGTAGCTGTTTTATGTCTTCAATGCGGATTTCAAGCATAGGATAACTCAATGTGAGCAGCCATAACGGGCACTGAGCAAGGGAGGCACGCCACCCTCATGCGTGCACTCTCCCGCAGAAGCAAGGAGCCAGACCAAGTCTCGTATTTTTCACTTCAAGGGATGCAAATCATAGCGAGGATAGAACGAATTGTTACATGGGAGTGCGCTATCCCTGCTAAAATGCCGTGCGAGCACGTAATCCGCCTGGCAAAAGACAACATTCGTACTTCGAACTCTCTGGCCTCGCAGATTTGGCCATGAAGAACTTGTCGACCAACTGATATCTGTCAAGTTAAGGTTATCGTGTAAATTGCCTTATCATAATAGCTCTTACATGGTCTTGTAGCTGAAGGGACACACTCTGTATTGATGATCGCGAATTCGCCATCGCACGCTAGACATATAAAAGCAATGCACATCACCGCATGAACAAGGTCATACATAGTCGGATCAACATGGCCGCTCTTGAGAAAGGTATCCATCCCACAGACGAAGAGGTTGCGCGTAGTCCATCGCCAGAACCAAAGTATCTCGGTAAGTAGCCCTACGGTAGTTTGACGTTGGCTAACGAAACAGTGAAATGGTACCGCTCAACCTTTTACAATGCCCTCATCCTAGGTATCTGTAACTTCCTTGCCCCCGGCATCTGGGGCGCTATGAATTCGCTTGGCGCTGGGGGAGCAGAGAAGCCCTACCTCGTCAATGCCGCCAACGCGCTGACTTTCTGTCTCATGGTCGTGACATGCTTTTTTGGCAGTGCGGTCGTGCGCCTTGTCGGAATCAAATGGACGCTCGTAATCGGGACGATGGGTTACGCCCCGTATGCTGCAGGGCTGTATACGAACAACCGCTTCGGCACAGAATGGTTCGTCCTGCTCGGCGCGGCACTGTGCGGTCTGTCGGCTGGACTATTCTGGATGGCTGAAGGGGCGATTGCCCTGTCGTATCCCGAGCCACACAATCAAGGCCGATTCCTGGGTTTCTGGCTCAGTTTCCGTGTGGGTGGCCAGATCCTGGGCGGCGCGATCAACCTGGGAATCAACTCGAACCGATCGACGGCCGGGAGCGTCTCGTACTCTGTCTACTTGGTCTTCATTGTGTTACAGGCCCTCGGTCCCTTCGCCGGCTTGCTCCTGAACAAGCCGTCGCGGGTGCAGCGAACCGATGGTCTCCCCGTCCGCCTGCGCATCTCGCACAGTCCACTGTACGAGCTCAAGGCCATGGCAAAGCTGTTCATCCGCCGAGACTTTCTGTTGATCGTCCCACTCATCGTGCAGGCGGTCTTCACCGAGGCCATTATGTTCACGTTTCTGTCCTTATGGTTCTCCGTGAGGTCTCGGGCACTCGGGTCGTTCCTGTCCGGAATCATCGCCTTGGTCGTGGGCAATCTGCTCGGGGCGTTCCTCGACACTAGGAAGCTGTCGCTGCGGTCGCGAAGCCGTGGGGCCTTTTTCGTGGTGCTTGGTCTGCAGGGTGCATGGTGGATCTGGGCGACGGTCATCGTGACGGAGTACCATCGCACGCAGCCCACATATGACTGGGCGGATGCTGGGTTTGGGCGAGGCTTCGCGCTGTATTTGTTCTGGGTTGCCGGGTTTCAGCTGAATTACATGTATCTGTATGTGCCTTGACGCAGTCCGCTTGAAATTCGTGCTAAAACGGCTAGTTTCTTTGTCGTGGGCAATCTGGCGTCGGATGAAGAGGAGGTTGTCCGGATGGCAAGTCTTCTACGCGGGACAGAGTCGGCCTCGCAGGCTGTCTCGGTAAGTGTCCACTTCGTTTGATGAATCAATACTAATTTCTGTAGTATGGTCTGGATAGTGTCAAGATCATGGGCTCTGTCGGCAGCACCTACCTGAACTTTGGTTTGTGGGCTATCGCCCTGCTTCCTGCGTGGCTAGTGATCAAGGAGATTGGAGCGTCTCTGGGGGACAAAAAGGTGGAAAGGGAGAGCCGAGGGATTGACAGTGATTCGCAGCAATAAATCAACGCATTCTTTCAAGGAGAAAGGATATATAGAACATCTAACGAATCAGAATAACATGCTCAACCCAGATGATGGATATCCTCATATATATAAGCGAAAAATATCAAACAAAGCGCGGATCATGTCCAGGGTATCGCAGATCTACACTCTCGCCAAAATCCACTCGGCGATATCATCGGAAAACTCCTGTCGGTTGTCAGGCAGGTCCGCATGCAGCAGATGACTCCATCCCTCGTAGGACTTGAACTCGCGGTCGGCGACCTTTCCAGTCTGCGAGTCGAACCAGTGCTTGCTAGCATCATAACTAGTAACCTGGTCTGCCGTCCCGTGAGCCACATACACTGACTTGATGCCATCGTTGAGCACCAATTTGCCCGAAGTCAGATCGGCCGCCCGGTCGAGCATATTGGCAAACATCTCGAGGGTGCCGGTGGTATGGTTGAGGGGATCATCCTTGAGCGCCTTCTGCACGACAGGATCGCGCACAATCGTCTCGACCTTCATGGGTTGGACGAGTTGGAACCGTGGTAGGAGCCGTCCGGCCAGCCGACCCAGTAAGACGGTAATGACACTGGGTTTCTGCTTCGGGTCGAGCCCGATAAACGGGGCCTCGAGCATGATACCCCCGAGTCGCGAGACGAGCTCTTGATATCTGGGGGTCGAGGCCAGCGTGGCAACCAGACCTCCGCCCATCGAATGGCCCATCACAAACACCGGGACATCTGGCGCGACCTCGAACTGAGCCTCGATGAATGCCGCCATGTCGGCCAGGATGGCGGCGGTCGGGCCCGTGTTTCCACGGTCGGCCTTGGTCTGGGCCGACCGTCCCCAACCGCGCTGGTCGATCCCTGTGCAGAAAATGCCGCGGCGGGCTAGCGAGGGAAACAGATCATAAGAGTTGTTGATGTGGTCGCTGAAGCCATGAAAATGGATCAGTTTTGCGACCGGGGGCGTCGTCGGCTGTTGCAGAGATCAGTCTGTGCCAAGCACGGGGAATGATAATGGCAGAGGGAGCAAACGGACAGCCCATGTTTTCTGGTAGACCTGTAGCCCGTCAGGGAGCTTGAACTGGCTTTCTGTGATTAGGACGTCGGTCATGCTGAGGACTTGGTGTCTTTTTGATGGACGATGCGATGGAATGCCTTTTGATCAGAAAACAAAGCAGATCTGGGATATCTCAGGCTTCTCATTCTCAGCTGCTGATGGAGATCCGAGGCCCAAGGCACGTGAAAATCGAAGTCACGGGATCCAGATGGCTGACATGGTGCCAGCTGCAACAGTAAGTAGTCCAACATTATCCAGAGAACCATTCCTGGAGGAAACTGGATGCGGTATGGAAATATACCATTGCTTCCCTTTCTTCAGAACAGGTGTGTTGTCCTGTCATCCCCTAGTTCTGGCTGTCTTGTCGATATGCGATTCCGCTACGCCGATATATACCTCGCCGAGAGCGCCAGCTGGCCCGTATTTTTACCCATAAGCTTCTGTACGACAGATCGGAGGAGACATTAGGAGCAATTAGATCCAGATCTTATGACTATGCCTCGAGTCTCTGCTGAGATTCACTGGGAAATTATGTCTGTCTGCAGCTACCGGCGAATTGGAGACACATGCCCGGATTCGCCGTCAGACATTGAGTATCGGAATGGAAGCGAAAAGGGGGAATGCTACGCTGACCAAGCCGAAAAGGAACATTTCCCAGGGTCTGTTTGTATTGAAACTCAAACCAGGCATCTCGTCCCCAATCAGCGACCGGGTCCGCTTCAGCCGTGTTTCAGCCAGATGGATACGAACTGCAGCAACACAACACTGATATTTTGGTGGCAGTAGCATCTCAGGCCTCTGGATACAATATAAAAGGCACCATATACCTGTTTCTGAGTCTGGACCAACGCACAGACATCACCAAGACACTTCAGAACCTCAATACCCTCGTGCAGCACGACCATGCCGTCCAAAACCGCCATCAGCCAACTGGCCATCTCACTGGCACTGTGCAACTCTGCCTTTGGCCAGGTCGTCAATGGTGCCGACTACAACAAGCCCAATGGAGGACCTCCTGCCAGCTTCTTCGCCGCTGCATCGACCATGCCCGTGGCGGCCCTTCAGGCAGCGGCCGCCAAAGCCAGCCAGGTCCCCAAGTTGGCCACGTACCCCGTGAGTCAGGACAGTGGTGCGGCCAAGTCAACCATCCATAGCGACTGGGCGTCATTCAGTGAGGTGTGTAGTTAATCCCCTGGGAAGAGTCTGTACTGAAACAGTCATAGGGCGCCTCAATCTCCTGGGTAGCCGACATGGATGTCGATTGCGATGGGCTCAATTCGGGATGTCAGGTGGGTTGTGATGCTCTTATTGGCAACTGATTACTGATCAACAATAGGGAAACCCCGACGGACAACCTCAGACCAACTGGGGCGCCCTGTCTGCATATGAAGTCCCCTTTATCGTCATCCCGGACAAGTATCTGTCGGCCAATACCGGCGCTCTGCCTGGCAACAACATTGCCGCGGTGATCTGGTGCGTCGCCATCATCGTCTGTTGATGAGAGACTGACATTGTCTAGTAACGGCAAAATGTTCTATGGTATCCTGGGAGACTCCAACGGTGACAACCCCCAAGTCACCGGCGAGGCGTCCTGGTTGATAGCCCGGACTTGTTTCCCCAACGAGGGCCTGAACGGCAATAACGGCCACACAGGTGTCGACGTGACCTGTATGTCTCTTTAGCCAACTGCTCTTCAAATGCTAATGCAAAGCAGACATCGTCTTCACCGGCAAAGATGCGGTGCTCCCCAGCAGTGCCCTGACGAAAAACTACATCACCAACTTCACCACCCTGCGCAGCATGGGCGACAAGCTCGTCAACGCCCTCGCGACGAAGCTGGGTCTTTTGGGGACTTCGCCCACGAAGACCACCACTCTCGTCACAACGACCACGACGAAGCCGACATCTACTGCTTCATGCTCCTGGGCAGGTCATTGTGAAGGTGTGTATAGCCGCTGCCCTGCTTCGTTCGTCGACTGATTGTTGTAGGTGCTTCCTGCTCGAGCAATGATGATTGCTCGGACGACTTGTATTGCAAGAGCGGTTCCTGCACCGCTCCATAGAGCACTCGCTGGACTATGGTGGATAAACCAAACATCGTCTCAAATCTCGGCACATCCAAAACCAATCAGCTGGCTTTTGGCCAAGGTTTTCACATCATAGAATATATCCAGTTTGAGCGCCTGCAAGATGAGCGCCACAGCTCGGAAGATTGTGACATTTTGTTAAACTAATAGTACTCAGAATATTAGCTAGTAACAGAAGACTACCAGTTTATAGAGCTCTAAGTTAAATAACGCTTAAGTGGACCTAAATACAGAGAGAGCTTCATGGCTGGTCAGCGTCATCAATACCTGGATATCAGTGATTTCCTTCATGGTCACTCCCATGCGCATGACTTTTCGCGATAACAATCCTATCCGAATGAAGGGATACTCCAGCCTCCGTTACAATCATATCCAAGGGATCCCTCTTCAAAAACATCATCTCACAATGATTGATATGCGCCAGATTATTGTACCTTTGCTCAATGACGGTGCCAGTCTCCACAGCCAGAAACATCTTCTTCCAGTAGTACGCACAATGGACCAGATGCCAATGATGCGTTGCAAAGAAATGGCCCCCCGTTTCGGGAAGCATGGAGACTTGTTCGAGGGAGAGGGCTTTCGTGCCGTTCTTATCTGCGTAGTATGGCCAGCTTCCATCGGGATTGGGGCCGGCTCGCTCAAACTGCTCGAGGAGCTCGTCGTTTCGGCATGCCGGAGGAAGCCATGCTGCTGCGAAGGAGTCGTATTTGCAGTTGTTGCTTCGAGCCTCCTCGATGGTGTCGCCGCAGTTACAGGATGTAGATCGGCGGGATTGGACAAGGGCGTATGCACGGAGCCCTAGATCAATGAGACCGAAGGAAGCCAGGAGGAGGATAAAGATATCCTTCGTTCGGTATCTCTTGCTGCCGTGTGTGATTGTGACTCCATCGTCGGTCCCGCGATCATGGTAGGAGTCGCCATCTTCAATGCTTCTCCTCTCGACGAGAGGCTCGTACTTGGGCATCGACGGGCTTTCAGGGTCCTGTTGCTGTGATGTCTTCATCTTTCGGTCTGCGTACGCTGAATGGCCGGCTAGAAAACTCTTGCTCAATAACAAAGGAGACGTTATAACAAGTGTAAACCTTTGGACACGATCTTCCTTTCGACACGACCTTCCTTTGTACTGGCCCATCCAACTGGAAACGTCATACCGTCGCTTACACCGCCAAGTCCCTTGCTGGCAAGTTGGGGACAGGAGCTGCAAGGAGTTGAGCATCAGGCAAGAAACTCCTGATGAAAAGTCTGCAATATCTTGGATCCCTACCTCAGAACTACATACCGCAACGCCTACATAGTTGTTTTGATACAGGAAAAGCCATACGGCCAGCCATTTGACTCTCGGACAGAAGAATATATGTTTTTATTTCTTCGGCTAGGTTTGTCATTATCTATTGATAAAGGAGAAACAGTAGAATGATCCTCCAGGACTTATGCAGGAATATCGCAGACGAGAACCAATATCACCTTATACCAGTCTTCTAAGATAACATTTAGCCCAAACCTGTAACTACGTGATTGGTATCTGATCCTAAATGAATCATTTGCGGTGACGCCAGCATAATCTTAAGATTCAATCCATTAACCAGTCGGACCCATCGAGCTATTAACTTCGTCTTATTCACGGGGTCCGGTAGTTGGTAAGAAGGGCGCAATTGACGGATCCGGTTGAACTGGATAGTCAGCCGGTGGCTCTTTCATGGCTTGGAACACTTCCTTTGGGACCGAGTTCTCGTTCACATAGGTCAGCAGCGCCTCATAGTCGCGACAGACATGCTTATTCATGAAATCCGGAAATGGCTGATCCCAGCCCTCCACCCAGTTGAAAAGGATCACATCGACGGGGCTTTGACATTTGATGAACTGGGCCAGGATGTCGATGCAATGAGAGATATGGGCCGTGTGCTGTGCATCGGGGTTATTTCCGAACATCGGGAAATAATAGTGCTCGTAGGAGATCTCCTTGCGTAGCATATCAAGACAGTGGAGGAGGTGGAAAACCTCCGTCTGGGCAAGGTAGGCATCCGGCCCGAAGCCGAACTTATCAGGGACTCGGACGGCGAGTGCAGGGTCCTTGCCGAGACGATGGATCTCTTCTGCCGAGATGAGGATAGGGAAGACACCATTACTGATTCGGAACCACTCTGCGTCGGCTTTGTCGCCTTGAGGAATGCGTAGGATCGATGGGGGGTCGGAGTCATACAAGGAGCCGTTGGTTGTCAGAACGACCCGTGGAATGTCGAACCGCTCTAGCAGTGGCGCTGAGACGAGCGTTAGTCTGCTTTCTTTCTGTTTGTTTCATGAAACTCACCGTAGTACGATGTTGCTTTCCATTTATCCTGATCGCTAAGATGTCGCATACAGGCCTGAGTAGAGAGCGGGGATAGGAGGAAAAGAATCGAACCGCAGAATACCAAGATGTTCAATGATATGATCCACATAGACCAAGCAGCACACCATTGTTTAGGCCTACCCAGCTTCTGTTCGTCATTGCAAATTAAGAAGTACTTCTTAGACCTGAACCGCAACGAGCCCGTTAAGAGTCCCTTCTCGGAATCTCGGTCACTATTGCTCTCACGAAGACCCTCTTCTCCCTCGGCTAAGGCGCCAATGTCCCTTTCCTGAGTATTGTCGGAGGCCATAATGTGCTTTTTGCTTTCAGTCAGGATTGGGCCTGCGGTTAAAAAGAAGGAGAGCGCTTCACTTCAACCTCCTGATCATTGCGTTTACGCAATCGTCGAGACTTGACTGGCAACATATACTCCAGCGCTGCTGAACTAAAACCTTGCATAGAAAGAGCAAGGGAATCCCGCACAGCGATAATCCTGGGAGCAACCTGGTCATACGCAAAAGCATCACTATGCGTCGGATCAAATCCAGGGTTGTTCGGGGTTTGTGGGATTTGGGAACCGGGAACTGAAGGATAAGCCCTTACTTACAAATGTTATGTTGTATAATAGATAGTATACACTGTGAACTACACCGCCAGATTGCGTACGTATGAGCTGATATAGGGTCTATATTCTCCCATGACCATGAACTACACCGCTAGTGAGTGACCAACGCTCGGGCTGTTAAAGCATATCATTGCTACACTGAATAAGAACCTGTATGTCATTAGGTATCACAGAGAAAGGGTTATCAAGACGACCTGCAGGCTATGGAATGATAGGCATCGTGGGCGAGGTGAGGATAGATGCAACTGAATAGGATCATTGACTCAATTACTACTCTGGGTATGGGCTTGCTGTTCTAACCCAGCGGTGACCGAGACACAGTTCATCTGAAAGCCCTCCAAGGCAGGCTATAAATCGGCCATACCTCGTCGCAATGGACAACACGAACCAACTTCATCCCACTCACCTCAGAAGAAGCTGAACCTACTTGGCAATACGTAGCCAGACAAGAAAGCTAGTTATTGCATTCTACTCTCCCACCTTGCGATATGCACTTCAAGCTCGTTGCTGCACTGCTGGCCCTTAGCTTGCCATTGGCTTTGGCTGCTCCAACGCGTATGAATCACATCTACCTATCTGTGGATTGTTGTACTGATTATGATATGCAGCTAGCAAGGACAGCGAAGCCATTCCCTTCTATCCAAAGCGCGACAACGAGGGCGAGGCCATTCCCTTCTATCCAAAGCGCGACAACGAGGGCGAGGCTATTCCCTTCTACCCTAAGCGCGACAACGAGGGCGAGGCTATTCCCTTCTACCCTAAGCGCGACAACGAGGGTGAGGCCATTCCCTACTATCCAAAGCGCAACAATCAGGGTGAGGCCATTCCCTTCTATCCAAAGCGTGATAATGAGGACGAGGCCATTCCCTTCTATCCAAAGCGTGACAACGAGGGCGAAGCCATTCCCTTCTACCCTTGAGAACAAGGAGTGAACTCAATTCTTTGACCTGGGATCACTTCAACATATCTAACGCAGTATTCAAACTATTGACGCTCTTTTCCTCCCTTATACATTGCCTTGCGTTCCAATTCGTCACATGGCAACGTTTTATTACGGAATCTCCAAGCTGATGATATTTGAAACAATTGTCTGGTTTAAGAAAACGCTCCTTTTGGCGGTTCAACACTTCATGAGGAGAACCTATCTTTGAGCAAGAAGTCTACTATTCAAAATACCATCACAAATCATTCATTTGGCAGAGAACCTGGTAGAAGAACCAGACCATCATTGCTAGATTATATGTATGCAGAATACTTGTGATTTCTGAACCAGGAACAGTAGAGTGGTTTCTAACACTTGTCCTCTTACACAGAGTATACTTCACTGTCGACATATAAGCTCTTCTAAGGTGTGGGGGTGAGCCAAAGCAATAGTATTTGGGCTCTTTGTAGCTCTTCCCTTTGTTTCGGAGAAGATTACAACAGGTTTTAGAGGCAGATTGGTTTCTGTATGGCAGTCTACTTACTAAAGGGAAGTTAGAATTAGTCTCTTCCTGTCAGCTATATATTTGACAACTTCATCCCTTAAAACTAGTAGAGAGAAAGCTTATGTTAAAATAATAGCCTTAGAATACACTGCTAATCTTATATGAGAGCTACTTTAGGACGCACTCTATGAATAACCGCTCCACAGCTTCCATTGTCTAGGTGTAGAAGTCTGAGAAGGATCAGTAGTTCCCAAATAACTACGTCGTCGTCGGTCAATTTTAGCTCCATATCTGAGAGAATCGGGAAGCGCCAAGTGTCCAATTAGGATGGCTCAGGGGCCAACTATATATAGGCTGACTAAGTCGGGACGCTAAACCTAAACGGGATGGAATCCTGACACCCCCCCTCGGACCGA